ATCTTGTGGGGCCGGGCGGCGGCCTCGGCTGGGAGCCGCGGGGGAGGCAGGGTCGCCGCCTCAGCCGGCCTGCGGTAGAGGCGGGGATTGCTGCTTGCGGAGGAGCCGTGCTCTGTGCCCTTGGCAGGGGGCTGGCTGCCGGGTTTCTGCTGCTTACAAATGCCGTGGCTGCAAGGGGAGAGTGAAACGAAATAATAACGTGTACCTGCTTTTGAACAAAGGTTAGCAACGAACTTCTATAACCGAGGGCCTTGTTCAAATGCAGAAATTAGCAAGTGGTTTAAAAATATTACATACCAAGCTTGAGGGTCATCATCTGTAGAAAAGACAGCGCTTGACTTTCAGTAACCTACCTAGAATCCCCTTCGTTTTCTCTCTTCATTTTGCACCTGACTGACACACATCTCTTCAGAACCAAACCATCTTCTAACTGGTTCGCACAGCGCTCCTAAGTAGGACACAGTGGAGGAAATGTGAAAGCTAGAATTTGTCCCAGTTTGTACCCTGCAAGTGTATAAATTTGCATCTGTGCTGCTACAAATAATTCCAAAAATAATGAAATTACTGTTTCACCTTGCACCTGACCACCTTATATGACTGCAAGAACAGAGATGTGCTGTGCATTCTATTATCAGTGGTCTGAATCAGATGGCTAAATGTTGTATTTGTGTGGCATCTCATAACCAAACCAGGATACTTCTAAAATCTCCCATATCTCATCACAGCTGTCAGACAACTGCAACTCCTTAGGTATCATGTATGTCAATTTTTTTTGTTGATTTATGCATTTTCAAATTAATGAAACAAATGATCCAGTTCTAGTCATTTTAAAATAGCATCTTGTACTTTTTGATCAAATCAGATATCTGTGAGTAGGGTTCAAAATAATTCTTTTTCCATTCAGTTAGCAAAGTTATGGTGCCTGTGCTTTGGCCCTTCAGCAGATCCAATATGACCTTTAAAAGCTGATTTGCCAAACTCCCCCACTTCCCATGCTTTGGTCCATCACAGCATGGCCTCACAAAACATTAAGTGGGTTCCTTTCTCAAAAGAAACTACCAGACTGCCCCAGGACTGCAGGCCACAAGGACAGAAATGCAAGCTGCTAGCCCAAAGTTAAAATCTTCAAGCATCCAGGGACTGGGTTTCCAACACCGAATGTTTTGCTACACTTGCTGTACCATTCTACTTGCCAGGGCAGACATGGCAATAGTCTCCTCCCTTTTCATCTCCACTCTTGTTTTTCATAAGAAGCTCTTCTACATTATATTTATTTTACAAATAGGCTGCAACAGCACCCAGTCTTGACATGTAGCTTAAGTGGAGGTACCAAGTGCTGGTTAGTGCATGATAGTTAATTGTTGCTCAACAGAGGCACCACCAGCATCATCATCATCATTGCAGTTTTTGGTCATTTCTAGAGGGGTGGAACCAAGCGTCAGTTTTTAGTCTAATTTTTAGAGTGCAAATTCTGTCATCTTTGCTGAATATAGATATATAGAAATTTGAATTGATTGGTAAGAAAAAAAAAAAAAAAAAAAAAAAAAAAGAGGGACATGCAGAATTTGAGAAGGAAACCTGAAAGTCTGAATTTACTTGTCTGGATTGCAATCTCTGATTTCTGATCTGTACTTCTAAATCTGTCCCCTGTAGCTTAATTTTCCCTTTCACTTACCCTCCTATCTCTCAAAGCTAAAAAAGGAGGCTTTTAAGTATGGTACTAATTAAACAGATTAGGCTTGCCTAACTATTGGCAAACCCAAAGGGACTTGAAAAATCTAAATACAGAAATTGGTTTTAGATAAGACCAGAATGACAGGTTTGAAAAATTATTTAAGAGCTACTAAATCAGACTTCTTCACAAATTGTTTTGTTTTTAAACTCCATATCCTTCAGAATTACTTCTGTAGGTATGACAAGATAACACCAATTCTGCAAATGCTACTTAGTGGTGTAAAACAGTGCTTCTCATGGAATTTTTTTTTCTTCCATAGTGACTCAGTACTACTGATTGAATTAGAATTAGTGCAAAATGCTGGCAAAACGCTGCATGCCCTTAGTGTGCAGAAGAATTCTTGGGCATGTCGGATGCTTCTACCTTATTCTCCCAAAGTAGGGTCTGATCCCATGAAAGAAACAGAAGTGACACAGAATGATACTTTTCTTCTACTCCTGCTCAAGCAGCTAATCTCAGAAATAGATTTGAAACAGCCACTGCTCTGTCAGGAGTGCCCAGGCCGATAGCAGCAAAAGCAGAAACAGCAGATTCTTTGTGTTTTACTGAAATTCTCCCCCACCGAAGGGGCAAGGGGTCACTGATTGCATAGTCTTTGCTCCATTGCACACCCTCAGCTATTGTTGAATCCACTCAGAGAGCAGCAGACTGAATGTGCTGCATAGCCTTGTAACCGAGTCTTCTTTTTTATTATTGTGTGAATTAAGATTCTCAATATATGTAAAGCACCTGTTCATTTGGGTCAGTGTATATAACACGTTGGGTAAAGACTGTAAGAAATCCTTTCAGCAGAAGTGTATAACTTACACCGGTACCTCTTGAAATATGATCATCTTTGTTACAATCTCCTAATCCTTGTAAAGGGATTTGCATGGTACAGGAAGATTTACAATGTAATGGATTACTATTTCATAATCTGGGCCAAAGGGAAGAAACTTCAAATATTTACAATTTTTTACTGCATTTCAAACTTTTTTCCAGATCTGGAAACACAACACTGGGGAGGCTGTTAGAGGGTGTTCGCACACAAAATATGTTATCAACGTAACACTTGTGGGCTTTGCTTTATCCGAATTTCCAAGCATGTGTAACTATTCTCTACCTGCATCCCTCTTTTGTGACTGCAGTGCTTGTTACTATTCAAAAGAAAAGAAAGTATGTTAATAGAAATTGTGTAGGAAACAAATGAAACATTTTTAAGCAAACTATTATTAAATGGCTATGACTTTACCCTATGTATAATATATTCAAAAAAAGAGAGAAAAAGTGTTTAAAAATTAAGAAACAAAATTATTTTTTAGTCAGTCATGTCATCAGAATTACATATTTTTTTCAATTTTAACCATTCAGCATCACCAACAGAACAGACAACTGCACAGAACCATGAAACTCAAGACTGAAGATGATTTTTCAATAGCATTTTCTATCTAGAAAATCCAAACCATCTGAAATTTTATGCTGCACTCCTTGGATACTAAGCCCAGCCTGCTACATGTAAGTACCAAGAATGACACTCCCAAAGGCAGAGTATGATTGCAAATACTCTCTCACACTCAGTCTTCCCATCCCAGTTTGTTGCATTTTTCTGTTAAATTAATGATGCAAATTCTTTGTAGCAAGCAGCCTAAAAGCAGATAGTGGCTTTTTCATTAAGTCTTTATGATCTGTAGCGATGAGGAGGTTCTCACAAACCCCAGAGTCACACAGCAATGAGAAGTGTAGCTGCAGCAGTGATAGGTGCAACAGAAAGGGGTACAGAAACCTCACATTTTGCAGAAGGGCATCACTGCAAGTAAAACATCATTAAGGCCAGTGATCTTCCTTACACCTTTATTACCCTCTCAAAGCGTGAATTTAAACTCCATTAAAAAAATAAAGAGATTGGAAAGATTTAAATGAAACATAAATGAGAAAATTTATACAGAGGGAAGAACATGTAGTCAAAAAATACTTTTTATTCCTATCATCAGGAAAAATTAGTGATATTGAAAGCAGAATTGCTAATATGAATTTACATGGTCAGTCAGTTTAAAAGTGTCATAAAATGATGGCCATATTCCCCTTAATATAATTCTGAACTAAGATACCTGACTGGGATATTTTCATCTGGGCAAAGCCCAGGGGACCCTGTGTAGAGCTTCCCCTGAAAGTAGGGTTAGGTTTAAGCTTGAGAGAGAAAGCAAGCCTAGATCTGCAGCTGAAGTGGGTCTGGAAGGGGCCGCCAAGGGAAAATGTGGGCTGCAAAACAGATTTTTTTCATCTGGGCAAGGGCAGATTTTGGTTTGTTGGGATTTTTTTGTTTGGGGGGGTTTTGTCTGATTTGGGTTTTTTTTTGTCTTGTTTTTAGCAAAAGCTCAGCCTGGAACTAGGGTTAGGGTTACATTACAAATTTAATGTGTTACACAGTTAATTTTTAGTCCCCTCCGTTCTTTCTCTATTTTCTCTGCTTTACCATTAAAGCAGCATTTCTCAACCTGTCAGAAAGGCAAAGGAAATACAAATATCACATTCTCCCCCACTTTCTTGCATCAGCTCAACAAACTGATTAGATGAGCTGTTTTCTTTCCTCTGATGTTTAGGCCCTGTCAGACATGCTGGTTAAGCCAGTGCACTTCAGCACTACTCAGTCAGCAGCTTTGAGGAATGACAAATAGCAGGAATGCGCAGCCAGAAATGTAGCACTGTTGATACAAATACTGCAAGTGACCCTTTTCAGTAAAGGATTGAGCAAAACCAGTCTCTGCAATTAGGGCAAATCTACAGTGTAGAAAAAGGAGTCATAGTACCTTGAAATAAAATATATTTGTGCACCTACAGAAGTGCCTCAATAAAATGTGCATTGTGCAGCAGCTTGAGGAACACAGGATAATTTCAGGTGCTACAGACCACTGGGATCAAACTGAGATAATTCCCACCAGATAATGTTTAAAAAAAAATACTTAGAGGCTTAGAAAATCACTGATCTTCAGAGTTGCTTTCACTGTTGATGTACAAAAGGTAAATGCAGATAAAAGTACTTTTAAGTATCTTAAGGGTAAACCAGTGTTCACAGAGGGAGCATCTGTAAGTAATCCAGACTTTCCTATCCATTAATATCTGTGTTTCTACAGGGAAAAAATATCCAGACTTAAGAGTAAATGATTGAAAAGGTAAACTACAAAAGAAATTCTATCTCCATTTGAAGTAAAATGAAGTGTTTACCTTAGACCACAT